GTATTGCGCAATATTTTTCAGTTTTTATTAATGATCAGCAAAATACTCAAGGCGTGATGAGCAGCCCGACGACCCGACAACCCACCGGACTAATTGGGATCTAGGCAGAGTCGTGGGTGGACCATTAGCCTGGTGGGTTGGGCATGAAAGTTTAGGATCAGATATCCCAATGGGCTATAACCCAGTAGCCCAGTTAAGGCCCATTTAGGAACCATGCTGAATTTTAACCCGTTAAAACCTCATTGGGCTAGCTCGTGTTCAGGCCTTGGGCCTAGGTGTTTCAATTAATAAGCCCAAGGCTTTTAGGGTTTTTTTAGGTGTTGGAACAATTTTGAATACTTATTTGAGCAAAAGTTTATGGGCAAATGGTTTATTCTATTAAGTACAATTTTTATAAAATTTTTTATGTTTATGTACAAAATTCAAATGAATTAAAATTCCTTTTACTTAAACACCCTTCCTTATTTTATGCAGCCATGATTGACAGTTATTTTAGGAAATGAATATGTATATACCACATATTTGTTATCTTTTTAATTTTTGAATTTTGAATGAGCAATTTTGTGAGAGATTTATGCATCTCTTAACAGTTATTTTAGGAAACAAATATGTAATATTTACATATTTGTTATCTTTATTTTTTTGAATCAAACGTATGTGTTCAACTGATAAATCTTCTTCAACATGTTCAACTGATAAGTCTTCTTTAACGTGTTCAACTGATATTTCTTCTTTTATTCGATAATTTTTTTTGATGAAATTCTTGTGTTCGATTTTGTTTTATGTTTGCTCGATGTTGGAATAAAGGAGAAAAAAACTAATTTTGTTTTAATGGGTGTAACTGTGTTTTAATGAGTGTAACTATTTTTTAATGGATGTAACTGTGTTTTTAATTGGTGTAACTGTGTCAATATAGTTTCAACCGTTAATTTTTGAATATTAACAGTTTGCAATTTGTGATCGCAAATAATTATTTAAAACAGTTATGTAACTATTTTTAATCAAAAAACACAAATTGTGGAAAAAAAAAAATTAATGAATGACAAAAAAACAAAAATGAATGTCACCTGCAATTTCTGGTGAAGAGGTTGTCAAAGATGATTCAAAGTTACTTGACCATAGAACACGATGAACAGTAACTCGTATTCTTTTTTTTTTTTTGAACGATGAACAGTAACTCGAATTCCTCATTTTTTTTTATGATGAACAGTCACTCATATTTCTCTTTTTTTTGAACGATGAACAGTCACAGTTTTGGCATTCCAATCACCCTGTCGAAGAAGATGAGTTTTGATAATTAAACCCCCTATTTTACCTCCCATTTGATTTTAGCCAAAAAAACGTATGAAAGATATGAGTTTCCATATATTTACTAGTTACCAATGACAATAATAGTATTTTAAAAAACTATTCACGTTACCCAAAATAAGTGTTTGAGTTGTACTTTTGCCTAAATAAATCTAAAAAATTATACCAGCTTCTAAATTGTCCTTACTTTTACTAGCTTTCAGCAATGAAAACTATTTCATCACCAAAAAAAGAAAATGTGACCACAATCAAAACTCTTTCAACTACGAAGGTTGTTTTNAACATATTTAATAGTTTAATTGGATAAATATAAATGAGGTGAACTTAGTTATTAATGGGGTGAGTATAGATGAGATAAACTTATTAGTTTGAAGTAAGAAGATTAAATAGAGTGGAGAATGAAATTTATGGGGCGAGAATAGAGCAACCCAAATCAAATTTGTCTCTAAATTCTGTACTAGTAAAATTTCTGAATCAGGTTNACATATTTAATAGTTTAATTGGATAAATATAAATGAGGTGAACTTAGTTATTAATGGGGTGAGTATAGATGAGATAAACTTATTAGTTTGAAGTAAGAAAATTAAATTGAGTGGAGAATGAAATTTAAGGGGCGAGAATAGAGCAACCCAAATCAAATTTGTCTCTAAATTCTGTACTAGTAAAATTTCTGAATCAGGTTTATTTAATGCTCACTTTTTCTTGCAAGTTCGAGTAGTATAGACACTACTTTATATAATATTATTATTTTATTTGTGATTTCATGTTATTATTTTATTATATTTATTATTTATAAAGTTCGACTGTTGGTGATAGTTTTGCGGAAATGATAACAGAGACACATTGCTTGTGACCTTAGCAGACATGAAAGGACGTGGTGTGCTGGCGCCAGTAGAAAGCATATTCTTCAATTACTTTTTTTAAAATTAAAAGTGGAATTATTAATTCTATTTTATTGTTAAAAATATTATTTTTAAAAAATAACATAATTAATAAATAAATTCAAAACTGTCGTAAACCGATAACATTATTTTAAAAAAACTGTATAGTAATAAATAACTCCAAAAGTAGTCCTATCCATTAAATTTTGAAGAGTCACAAGCTCTAAGGGAAGTGAATTATTATTTCATCCTTCTCCAATATTATTGTCCTTATTTTCTGCTCAAATGAACCCAAAATAGCAAAAAGCCAGCATTGGATTTTTTTTTTTTGTCACTATCACTCCACTAGTATGGCTTATTCATTTAATGCATAATGTCCACTCAAACTAATGTAGCCAAAGCTTGGCACCAAATTTAAATAGTTTTTTTTTTTTGGGTTTTTTATTTTTAAAATTTTTTTGGAACAGTATTTGTTTTACTTTTTTATCCTATTTTTCCAGATTTATTACATTCTTTTTAAATATATGTATATTTATATGTAAAACTAAGTGTATTATTGTTATATATTAAGATGCATTACATCACTTTTTGTAAATATTGGATAAATATGCTTTTCACCATTTTGACAAAATTAATTTATTGATTAAAAAAATTCGTTGTCAACCGATAGTTTAGTTTCTGCAATAAGAAGCATTGTGGCAAAACTTGTCACAAGTACGGGTATTCATCCTACCCTATGAGTAGAAATTATAGTATTTTATCTTGCTATTCAATATTTTGTAGGAGAATTTTTTTTTTTGCCTACCTTACCTGATCAAATATACTATTCTTATCCGATTCGGTCCAAAAAAATCGGATAGGAAGTTAGGTAGAAAATCGGGTGAACACATATTTTTTAGTTATTAATTTTTGAATCATTTTAACAATTTAATTAAGTAACCTGCACCAATTAACTAACACAACAAATCATAACCATCAATAAAATATTAAGGTTTCTAGATTTTTGAATTTTAATTTTTAGGGATTAACATATATATATAATCAGTAAGGTAGAGTAGGAATACAAAAATTTTATATGTATTCTGCATTTCTATCCAATTTTTTGCGGAATATCAAAAAATCTTTCGTTGGCCTATCCAATTTTTTCGGATAGCCGATCAGTAACGTTAGATAGGGTAAGATAAGATCAAAATTTATGAGTTATCGAAAATTTAAACACCTCTAGTAACAAGTGAGAAAAATAATAATTAAGAAACTAGAGAGTCCGCCAAGTTTTTTTATAGGAATATTATTGACCTTCCTTGTGCAAAAACAAAACCTTAAAAAATTTCCAAAAAAATAATTTAAAAAATATTACCAAAGCATAACTAAATTCTCCATGATATTTTTAATTCAACCTACTCCATTAATACAAGTAATTGTTTTGTGTTGACATGGCTACGAAATGTGGTCAAGGGTTCGATTTTTATGGCGGGAGATCCTTCTAATGCCTTTATTCTTCAATTTCTTTATTAATAGATCACTTATCATGTATTCAAAAGAGACTCATAATATACAGATAGATCTTGCCCTCATTAATGGTGGATTACCTACCAAAAAAAAAATTAAAGAAAAAATATATTAAAACGAATTTGAATTTAATTTTTATCACTTCCAATGCTAAAAAAAACCTTTAAAGATTGGCCATGACACTTTGACTGTGGTTAACTCTATCAGCACAACTTTTCCTTGGTTGCAATCCTTAAAAAAAGACCCCTCATGTCGATATTTGGAATCGAGTGAGTTTTTTTTCCTTGTTACTGTCCTTCTTTACCCAACCCTCACGTCACATTTCTTCACTGTCAAGATATAGAAGTACTAAACCATCCTTTTATCTAAAAGTTTATACTCTCTCACTCAAACAGCTAAGTCCGTCAATAAATTGGATTCTGATCTGAATTTGAATTTGATCAGGTGGATATAAATTGATAATTTTTTTATCGATAATTTAAATCTAAATTTGAATCCGATATATTATATTTCAAAGATTCGGATTTAAATATACCTATATCCAATCCGATTATGAGTTGGTCCGAATTATTTATATATTTTTATATAAAATTTAAACAAATTAATTGATTATTTAAAGGAATTTAGGTATAACTTGTTAAAATTTAGTTAATTAAGTTATTTAGATCGGATCAAATTTCAGATAATTAATAGAATCGGATATAAACCACAAAAATAAAATCCATTGAATTATCGAATCAGACTTTTAAAATTAAATTTAGATTCAGATCGGTCAAAATCCAATATAAACTCGATATGTTGACTTGCCTAGCTACACTCCATCTACCAATATCATTGAGTAAAATTAAAAAAAAAGTAATGCTAGATGAATTTAAAAATTAGACTTAAAATTTAGACTTGATAATCTCAACCATTAAATAGGTAGTGGATCCCAATAAATACTAGAATTTACAGTAAAATCAATAGTTGAAATTATTAAATCTATTTTTTAAGTTTACGAATTATTGCTCTTAAAAAAATATATAATATAGAGGATTTAAATCCATTTGATTGGACCCAAGAAACACAACTTTTCCTTTTACACATATTTATGCCATGTGAAACTACTGATTTGTGCAAAAAGGAAGTGGCCCTTCAACAGCTCCCAGTCCATCATCGTTCAAACTTGTCTACCCTCCATTCCACTGGCTATATATATTTCCTCCTTCGGATTTCCTTTTCTACTCATACAAATTTTCCTCCCTCTCCTTCCTCTTCTCCACCTACTTTCCTTTCCTTATTTTCTTTTCTTCGACTTCAACAATGGCACGTGGGTGTAATGTTTGGTGTATAGTTTCCACAGTACTGTTGTTGTTTCTGAATTTGAAACCTTTGATTTGTGGAGAATCACAAGTCCCTTGTTACTTCATTTTTGGAGACTCACTGGTGGATAATGGCAACAACAATGACCTTTTGACTCAGGCCAGAGCCAATTTTCCTCCCTATGGAATTGATTTTCCCGATGGTCCAACCGGCAGATTCACCAACTGCCGGAATATGGCCGACATTTTGGGTCTGTTTCTTATCCACCCCACTTCTCCCACCTAGCTTCATCTATGGGAAAGTTATACGTTGACCCTTGAAAGAGTAAATTACACTTTGCTCCCTGAATTATTATTTTAATTTTACTTTTTTCACCCTCAACTATAAAATTTCTAACATTGAACTCTAAAACATCAATTTCATTTTATACCACTTTAATAAATAACCGCAAACTTGAAAATATATCAGATGAGGGAGAAAAATCCCAAAGAGTTTACCACCAACTGCTTAGTAGATAGTACCATTTTATTTTACCTCTTTTGTAACTAAATGGTTGCTGGGAAGAAAAAAAAAGTTGGTCAGAAGAAAAAAATTTGGAGCTTAGGAAAGGTAAAGTCATGAATGAGTATTTTTCTTATTTTTTGATCTACACATGTGTAATTGACAGTTGCTTATTAGCAATACAAAGTTACAAACCACTCATATGTGCATTTACCGTCAAAAATTAACAGTCGTTATCTATTGGAGTGATATAAAATAAAATTAATATTTTAAGATAAAATGTAAGAATTTTATAATTAAGGGTGCAAAGTAAAATAAAGATAATAATTCAAAGAGGTAAAATATAATTTATCCCCTTTAAACTATGGTGTTTCCCCTTGGTATTGCCTCATCATTGTCATCAACTATTATGTTCCTGACAAAACACCGTTGCCAAATTCCCATTATACCCATGATGAACTATTTGATGATAACAAACATTTGGGTGAAGTTAGTAATTCAATAGTTTAAGGGTGAAGTGAGCAGTTCAAAGCTACTAAAACTAGAATAATCATTAAATAATCAACTGCAACTTTGATATTTAGGTTTTACATATAAGTCACATGCTTCATGAAGTTGCTGAAGTTTAATGGTAGTAGTTGATAGCCATAACTATGATACTGATTGAAATTAAACACTCAATGGTCACAGCTGAACTTCTAGGCTTTGATGATTACATTCCTCCATTTGCAACTGCAAGAGGCCAGGATATTCTCAAAGGTGTGAATTATGGATCTGAGTCAGTTGGAATTCGAGATGAAACCGGACAACAATTGGTATTCCCCAGACCTTATAACATCCCCTGAATTCGTATTGCACAATATTTTTCAGTTTTTATTAATGATCAGCAAAATACTCAAGGCGTGATGAGCAGCCCGACGACCCGACAACCCACCGGACTAATTGGGATCTAGGCAGAGTCGTGGGTGGACCATTAGCCTGGTGGGTTGGGCATGAAAGTTAGGATCAGATATCCCAATGGGCTATAACCCAGTAGCCCAGTTAAGGCCCATTTAGGAACCATGCTGAATTTTAACCCGTTAAAACCTCATTGGGCTAGCTCGTGTTCAGGCCTTGGGCCTAGGTGTTTCAATTAATAAGCCCAAGGTTTTTAGGGGTTTTTTAGGTGTGGGAACAATTTTCAATACTTATTTGAGCAAAAGTTTATGGGTAAATGGTTTATTCTATTAAATACAATTTTTATAAAAATTTTTTTGTTTATGTACAAAATTCAAATGAATTAAATTTTTTTTTACTTAAACACCCTTCCTTATTTTATGTAGCCATGATTGACAGTTATTTTAGGAAAAGAATATATAAAGATTACATATTTGTTATCTTTTTAATTTTTGAATTTTGAATGAGTAATTTTGTGAGAGATTTATGCATCTCTTAATAGTTATTTTAGGAAACAAATATGTAATCTTTACATATTTGTTATCTTTATTTTTTTGAATCAAATGTATGTGTTCAACTAATAAATCTTCTTCAACGTGTTCAACTGATAAGTCTTCTTTAACGTGTTCAACTGATATTTCTTCTTTTATTCGATAATTTTTTTTGATGAAATTCTTGTATTCGATTTTGTTTTATGTTTGCTCGATGTTGGAATAAAGGAGAAAAAAACTAATTTTGTTTTAATGGGTGTAACTATGTTTTAATGAGTGTAACTATTTTTTAATGGATGTAACTGTGTTTTTAATTGGTGTAACTGTGTCAATATAGTTTCAACCGTTAATTTTTGAATATTAACAGTTTGCAATTAATGAATGACAAAAAAACAAAAATGAATGTCACCTGCAATTTCTGGTGAAGAAGTTGTCAAAGATGATTCAAAGTTACTTGACCATAGGACACGATGAACAGTAACTCGTATTCTTTTTTTTTTTTTGGACGATGAACAGTAACTCGAATTCCTCATTTTTTTTATGATGAATAGTAACTCATATTTCTCTTTTTTTTGAACGATGAACAATCACAGTTTTGGCATTCCAATCACCCTGTCGAAGAAGATGAGTTTTGATAATTAAACCCCCTATTGTACCTCTTATTTGATTTTAGCCAAAAAAACGGATGAAAGATATGAGTTTCCATATATTTACTAGTTACCAATGACAATAGTGGTATTTTAAAAAACTATTCACGTTACCCAAAATAAGTTTTTGAGTTGTACTTTTGCCTAAATAAATCTAAAAAATTATACCAGGTTCTAAATTGTCCTTACTTTTACTAGCTTTCAGCAATGAAAACTATTTCATCACCAAAAAAAGAAAATGTGACCACAATCAAAACTCTTTCAACTACGAAGGTTGTTTTGGTGACAACCAGATGAATTTTTTTGCAGCTGAGTTTTGGTTGCTAATTCTCTATTTTTAGCGATGATATTTTTGTTGGTAGTCAAATATTTCAAAATTTGTTGATGAATTATTTACTTTCAGCGATGAATTTTTTTGATGCTAAAAATCAAACGAGGCTTTAATGCTTGTTGAATAACATGTATCAATTAAAACTTCATACACACTTCACCAAACAACATGAGATGTGTATGGGTTACCATACACCCATTCTCCAATCTTGCAACACCCCCCACAAACTTTGACTCTGTTGTCTTCCCACAGGGTGCTCGGATAAGCTTGAATGCACAGTTATCAAATCATAAAATCACAATTCGGCACATTGCTACCTTACTAGGGAGTAAAGCTTTAGCAAAAGAGTACCTAAGCAGCTGCTTATATACAGTTGGAATGGGCAATAACGACTATCTCAACATCTACTTCATGCCACAGTTTTACCCAACGAGCAGCCTATATACACCAAAGCAGTATGCCAAAGTACTTGTTAAACAATACTCACAGCAGCTAAAGGTCAGTAGTANTCCTAGTAAAATTTCTGAATCAGGTTTATTTAATGCTCACTTTTTCTTGCAAGTTCGAGTAGTATAGACACTACTTTATATAATATTATTATTTTATTTGTGATTTCATGTTATTATTTTATTANAACAATACTCACAGCAGCTAAAGGTCAGTAGTATAAGAGTTTTTATCTCATTTTCTAAGGATAAATTACACTTTTATCCTCTCAACTACGTCCTCTGTTTCACAATTCCTCTCAACTATNTATAAGAGTTTTTATCTCATTTTCTAAGGATAAATTACACTTTTATCCTCTCAACTATCAAGTTANTATATTTATTATTTATAAAGTTCGACTGTTGGTGATAGTTTTGCGGAAATGATAACAGAGACACATTGCTTGTGACCTTAGCAGACATGAAAGGACGTGGTGTGCTGGCGCCAGTAGAAAGCATATTCTTCAATTACTTTTTTTAAANGACACTACTTTATATAATATTATTATTTTATTTGTGATTTCATGTTATTATTTTATTATATTTATTATTTATAAAGTTCGACTGTTGGTGATAGTTTTGCGGAAATGATAACATAGACACATTGCTTGTGACCTTGGCAGACATGAAAGGACGTGGTGTGCTGGCGCCAGTAGAAAGCATATTCTTCAATTACTTTTTTTAAAATTAAAAGTGGAATTATTAATTCTATTTTATTGTTAAAAATATTATTTTTAAAAAATAACATAATTAATAAATAAATTCAAAACTGTCGTAAACCGATAACATTATTTTAAAAAAACTGTATAGTAATAAATAACTCCAAAAGTAGTCCTATCCATTAAATTTTGAAGAGTCACAAGCTCTAAGGGAAGGGAATTATTATTTCATCCTTCTCCAATATTATTGTCCTTATTTTCTGCTCAAATGAACCCAAAATAGCAAAAAGCCAGCATTTGATTTTTTTTGTCACTATCACTCCACTAGTATGGCTTATTCATTTAATGCATAATGTCCACTCAAACTAATGTAGCCAAAGCTTGGCACCAAATTTAAATAGTTTTTTTTTTTTGGGTTTTTTATTTTTAAAATTTTTTTGGAACAGTATTTGTTTTACTTTTTTATCCTATTTTTCCAGATTTATTACATTCTTTTTAAATATATGTATATTTATATGTAAAACTAAGTGTATTATTGTTATATATTAAGATGCATTACATCACTTTTTGTAAATATTGGATAAATATGCTTTTCACCATTTTGACAAAATTAATTTATTGATTAAAAAAATTCGTTGTCAACCGATAGTTTAGTTTCTGCAATAAGAAGCATTGTGGCAAAACTTGTCACAAGTACGGGTATTCATCCTACCCTATGAGTAGAAATTATAGTATTTTATCTTGCTATTCAATATTTTGTAGGAGAATTTTTTTTTTTGCCTACCTTACCTGATCAAATATACTATTCTTATCCGATTCGGTCCAAAAAAATCGGATAGGAAGTTAGGTAGAAAATCGGGTGAACACATATTTCTTAGTTATTAATTTTTGAATCATTTTAACAATTTAATTAAGTAACCTGCACCAATTAACTAACACAACAAATCATAACCATCAATAAAATATTAAGGTTTCTAGATTTTTGAATTTTAATTTTTAGGGATTAACATATATATATAATCAGTAAGGTAGAGTAGGAATACAAAAATTTTATATGTATTCTGCATTTCTATCCAATTTTTTGCAAAATATCAAAAAATCTTTCGTTGGCCTATCCAATTTTTTCGGATAGCCGATCAGTAACGTTAGATAGGGTAAGATAAGATCAAAATTTATGAGTTATCGAAAATTTAAACACCTCTAGTAACAAGTGAGAAAAATAATAATTAAGAAACTAGGGAGTCCGCCAAGTTTTTTTATAGGAATATTATTGACCTTCCTTGTGCAAAAAAAAACCTTAAAAAATTTCCAAAAAAATAATTTAAAAAATATTACCAAAGCATAACTAAATTCTCCATGATATTTTTAATTCAACCTACTCCATTAATACAAGTAATTGTTTTGTGTTGACATGGCTACGAAATGTGGTCAAGGGTTCGATTTTTATGGCGGGAGATCCTTCTAATGCCTTTATTCTTCAATTTCTTTATTAATAGATCACTTATCATGTATTCAAAAGAGACTCATAATATACAGATAGATCTTGCCCTCATTAATGGTGGATTACCTACCAAAAAAAAAATTAAAGAAAAAATATATTAAAACGAATTTGAATTTAATTTTTATCACTTCCAATGCTAAAAAAAACCTTTAAAGATTGGCCATGACACTTTGACTGTGGTTAACTCTATCAGCACAACTTTTCCTTGGTTGCAATCCTTAAAAAAAGACCCCTCATGTCGATATTTGGAATCGAGTGAGTTTTTTTTCCTTGTTACTGTCCTTCTTTACCCAACCCTCACGTCACATTTCTTCACTGTCAAGATATAGAAGTACTAAACCATCCTTTTATCTAAAAGTTTATACTCTCTCACTCAAACAGCTAAGTCCGTCAATAAATTGGATTCTGATCTGAATTTGAATTTGATCAGGTGGATATAAATTGATAATTTTTTTATCGATAATTTAAATCTAAATTTGAATCCGATATATTATATTTCACAGATTCGGATTTAAATATACCTATATCCAATCCGATTATGAGTTGGTCCGAATTATTTATATATTTTTATATAAAATTTAAACAAATTAATTGATTATTTAAAGGAATTTAGGTATAACTTGTTAAAATTTAGTTAATTAAGTTATTTAGATCGGATCAAATTTCAGATAATTAATGGAATCGGATATAAACCACAAAAATAAAATTCATTGAATTATCGAATCAGACTTTTAAAATTAAATTTAGATTCAGATCGGTCAAAATCCAATATAAACTTGATATGTTGACTTGCCT